TTTTCTCATCACCATCACCATTTTTATTATATCACAACCACTAGTATTATTTTTCTTCAACTGCCACCTTATATGACAATGTCATTAATTGTTTTTAAACCTATCATTATATTATTATTATTGCCATCATCTTTTTTTTTTTTTACTACTACCATAACCATCTCTATTATTTTTACTACTATTATAGTTGATAAAATTATTTTTTAATACTTATTTTTATTTATCTTAAAAGTCAGATATTAAAAATTAATTTTAAATTTTATTTTGATTTCTTTTTAATATTTTAAACATAATATAAAATGAAAATATATTTTTGGATTCTTTAATTTTAATTTTAATTTTTTAATTTTAATTTTAATTTTTTTATTTCTAGAAATCAAACTGTACTCTTCTTGATACCGGCTCCCCGTGTGCTGGAAATTAAAATACAAGCCATAATCAACCGTGTAAAATTACGGTTTACTTTTTCTGAAAATGCCTAAAATGGGTAAGAAAATACGAAGGTACTCCTACTCCCGAATTCTGACTCATAACAAGATGAGACCGTGACTATAGATAGAAGGGCCACGGGACAGTAGATTCCGTCATTCCACCATTTTCATTAATCAACGACTGCCGCCGGTGCATGCTTATCCGTTCTACTACTAGCAACAAATTAACATTTGATAAAACTTATTTTTTATTATTAATTTTATTTTGCTCTGGATTTCATAAATTGATAGAATTGAAATCCTTGTCTTCTCAAATCTCATTTAATTATATAACCAGCTCGATGTTTTCTCAAGAAAACTGACCAATAAGGTATTTCACTGATCTCTTGATTGCCTCAGGATGAAAGGGGATAGTCAGATAGACGGTAAGGCTTACACGTGTTGATGGATTCCACTCGTGCGCGTGGACCTGAATGCCAAAGTTGCGTAGACCTCTATTGTCCACGTTATTGTTTGCAGACTGTAGTCGAAGAAGAACTGGGATCCTGAGTCATGACTATAAAAGCCCAAAACAGACGGAAGTACTATAATAATAACAAGAGACACTTTTCTCTACATAAAAAAGAAGAAGAAGGAGGAGGAGGAGTAGGATAGATTTTTTTTTTTCAACTTAAAAGGGTATTTTTCAAACATTATATTACAACGAAAAGGAAATTTTATCTCCACAGAGCAATTTTAATACAACTCTTTGGATGCAGAATGGTTCCTTATATTACTTGCTATATAGAATTTCCCTTCGCAGCGAAATTAACAACATGAAAGTGCATATACTTATGCTCATCAATCTGACGGCCGGGATGATAAATTAACATGATCCCGATGGATAAGCAACTTGGAAATTAGAATTCAATGTGAATCATGTTATCCCATATCTTGCAACCAAACTTTTGTACGTGAAAGTGACCAGCATAAATAGAAGGGCTACCCTAAAAGATTCCTCCCAATTACATCAGCAGTGCCGACTCTTGCCCCAAAATAACTTTTTGTATCCATTTTGTTGTTTTAAGTTTTCAAATTTTCAATTGAGTCTTTTCTTTCATATTTGATCATTGATTACGTTTAAATTGTGTGTATATATATATAAGAAACAATGTTCTTTTATACTTGAATTAATACTTTTTGTTAATAGAGAAAGATTTTTTTGTGTCCAATTTTTGAAATTTTTTTTCTGTTTTTGTGTTCAATCGTTGATTTCTAATAATTTATTATCAAGTTTTGATTTAAGATGGATGTGAGTACTTAAACAGGAAAAAAAAATGAAATTTAAACATTGAAATAGAAAAAAATATATAGAGGTTGGGCTCCTAAAAAAATCGATGATTAGACACAAAGAATGTAGTTTTCTTTGAAAAAATTATTTGAATTTTCTCACACAAAATGTCTATTCTTTTCTTGTACCTTGATTTATATATTTTTATTATAAATAGATTTCATGCGTATTTTATTCTTCCACAATCTTTATATATATAATCTCCAAAACTTCTTTTAAAATTTTGAAAGTCATATAATTTTAAATTTTAAAAACATCAATAATTAGATGTATGTATATTTTTTTGTTATTATATTAATTGAACAAGCAATTTTAACAATGTATTCACTTTTTAGCTTAATTCATACTTTACTTATTATTTCTATCATTATCGTTACCATTACAAAAAATATTATACTTTAAATACTTAAATAAAAAAACTTGATCATTAAACTTATTCTTCTCGATTCTATCTGATCTTAGCCTACTATAAAACAATTTAGCACGATATTAACCATCAAAAGCTCATGTCACTCATTCTATATTGTTCGATCTTCTCACTAAATGGAAGAAGGCTTTTTTTTTTAATATATATATACTTTTTTCATTGATCAACCATTTGTTCTATAAATAGCAATCATAATTACATCTTATATGTTTATTATTTTTTTATTTACTCTTAATTGAACTTTATGTATATTTGAATTAAATGGAAAAATCTTAAATTTACCTAGACAATTAAAGGAGTTTAGAATTTTTTTAAAGTAATTTTTAATTGATACATAGTATTAAAAAATTATTTTTGATAAGTAAAAAAAGTCACAAACATGATATGAAAAATATTTATTATAAATTGTCAAACTGATTTTGCATTATCGAGACAAGTAAATTTCTTAAAAAAAACTGATTTTTTGATACCCAATCTTTAATTTTTTTCTATGTAAATAACTAACATTTGATTTTTTTTTTTTTATTTGAGTGCTCACACGTATTTTAAAGTATGAGATTTTGATATGTTTGGAGTTAACTACCACGTGATACTTTTGAATGCTACGTGGTAGCTCTCATTGAACATGGTCAGTAAAATTAAACCTCATGTGAAGTCCGACACTAAAACAATTAAAAAAATCAAAACTTCGATAGCAAATCATTATAAATTAATTGTTGAGCACCAAAACAGAAAAAAATAATCAAAAGTTGGATACTAGAAAAGCTTTTTCTCTTTAATTAAAGATATTTAATAAAAGGGCCCAATTAAGAAATTAATATGGTTTTAAAAACAAAAGGGATACAAAATTTTATTTAGGGACAAAATTGATTCTAACTCGAGAATTAGAGGGCCTTTTTGTGATTTGCCCCGAGTAGAATTTTCAAACCCCCGAATAGTGGAGACAACAAAAGGAGAGAAGTTCAAACTGGTGACGTGTTTTCCTGCTTTATTTGGACCAGAGGACAAAAGGAGGGTGCTAGAAGAAGAGAAAAATCGAAATTGGCATTATCAAGTTTGCTTAGTGGGCAAGTATTACCATCCATCCATTTCTTTCTTTCTTTTTTTTAAAACAATCCAGCTTTTTATTTGTTTGGATGGTTCTATTATTAGGAGAGCATGAATTGCCACGTTTGACCATTATAATGGCCTGCACGTGTCAGGCTTTGCTGACCCTGAATCGTCAAATTGGATAACCATTTCTTAGGACGCAACAATTTCTTGATGAAAATTTCCGATTTCCGGAGCCTCCAATCCAGAACCTACCTAGAAAGACCACAGTCTCCCGCACTAGTAATGAATTTAAATCGTGTTCTCTCTCTCATTCATCCTAGATCAATATTATATGTGTCACATGTTGCAAATAATATCATGTATAGAATCATAACATGAAAAGCATAATGTTTTTTAATTCACAGTTGATTGCAAGAATAATATTAGGTTGAAGGGTACAAATTTTATCGAATTTTAAGTTATTTAAAAATTAGTCTTTCAACTTTTAATTTGAGAATATATATCTTTTAAACTATTTTTCATTTGAAATTAAAGATTTTCATCAATTTTAATAATAAAATAATAAAAATACGTGTGATCTATATATAGTTGATTTTTAAAATTTTTTCAACCGCTAAAAATATTTCAAAATTTATAAATATTTTGCTTTTTTTTTCAATTTATTTTTTTCTAAAATATTCTTTAATTACTTACTTATTAGTATTTAGGACGAAAAAGTAAAGAATCTATGAGTTTTAGTATGCTATTAGTTGTTGAGTAATTGCACTTTAGTGTTGAAGTTGATGAAAATCTAACAAAAATATCCAATTTTAAATGAAAAATAGTGGAGAGAAGTTCAACCTAAAATTAAAAATTAAAAAATCAATTTTCAAATCATTAAACATTACTAATATATAATTTTAGGAAAATTTTGGAAAAATTACCATAATATTAAATATTACCGATCTGAACACATAACAATACGCCATATATAATTTTTTTGAAAAAATAGGTTGAAATTCATTAACTGATTCCATATGTTTTTTTTTTTTTCAATAGAAAGAGAGAAACTTAATCATAAAACTGAGTACAACAACCGATTTTTTTATATTATGCAATTATTATTCTTAATTGCATCTAGCACTTGGATTAGGATTACTTTTATAATGAATGGGTCGATTATGTTCCGAATCCAACCCGCATAAATAAAGATGATTAGGGAATTAAAATTCCTATTTTATTTGGCAAATGTCTAATTAATAGTTTAGCTGAGTTTCTCAATCTACTCCACCTAGCCATTTGCTAATTACTTGTTAATAACTTTACAGGGAAAAATTACGTTAATTACTTTGTTTTTGTTACATAATGCAGGGATATTTTATTTTTTTATTTTATTTATTTTTTTTTGTGATGATCCTGAAACAAGCAGCAATAATGAGTGGCCTTCTTCCGTTCATTCTAGTGCATAGCAAACTGATTATAATTTTTGTCTGAATGCATTAGCAAACTGGCTCATAAGTATTCAAACTACCGATTGCAAAAATAAAATGATTACAATTTTATTTTATATTTTATATTTTATAAATTATTCAGGTGGGCTCCCAAATTCTGGAATGGGGCGGATCTAAGTTTTTTGGTCCTTATAAGGAAAAACCCAGCCCAAGCCCATAATAGATAATTTTGTTTCTCATTTGATCGTGACCTTGGGGCACCTTTATTGGGTTTTAGACTTAGTTCAGTGAGGTGTTATTGTTAGTGAACGAGAAAAATAAAAAGGAAAATGAACAAAGCCGGCGGAATAGGAATCGGAGGCGGTGGAGGAGGAGTTGGAAGTGGGCCGACCGCGGCGGCGGCTGCAGCAGCGGCGCAGAAGCAGAAAGCATTGATGCAAAGAGTGGAAACGGATATTGCCAACATCGTTGACAATTTCACTCAACTCGTTAACGTAGCTAGGGTAAAATTTTTTATTTCTCATTAATATAATTTGTAGTGTTGATTTATGTTTTAGTGAATACTCTGTTAATTATATATTTAGGGCCTTGTTTGGTTAGGTTGGAAAGGGAGTTGGATTTTTACAAAAGAAATAATTTTGTTAAAGAACACATAGCTGCTTGATTAGTTTCTTATTTCATTGATGATTCATGTTTCTTCAATTCCCAAAGAGCAGGAGTAAGATTCACATTACAATCCGATCTGCTTGTTGTAGATTAATGATACATCCGTTAGAAATTCGCAAGAGGCTTTTATGATGGAAATGCGTGCTGCCAGAATGGTAAGAGCTGGCTGTTGTTTATACATTTTATTCAACGAATTGATAATTGAGTATTTATAATTTTTTTGAAGGATTTAAATTTAACTTCCTCATTGTATGAAAAGCTCCAATCGATCTTCATTCTTTGGTCGGTGGCCATACTGAGCACATCTATCATATCGAGAGAGATGATATGTTTTTGGATTTGAGAGTGCAAGTTGTCATTGCCTCTACATTAGCTAGGCCTTGGCCATTGTTTTTGATTTGTCATTTGGGAACAGGTTCAAGCAGCCGATTCTTTACTTAAGTTGGTGTCGGAGTTGAAGCAGACAGCAATCTTTTCAGGATTTGCATCTCTTAATGACCATGTTGATCAAAGAATCAGCGTATTTAACCAGCTTGCGGAAAAAACAGATAGCATGTTAGCTAGAGTTGGAGAGGAGGCTGCTGCTAGCCTTAAGGAGCTCGAAACTCATTACTATTCTTCTGCACAGAGGACAAGTCAAACCTTAGAACCGTAACTGAGTTTCCTGAAAAGTTGCAATGTCATTCTCTTCTATAATAGGCTTGTTTTCTGATTTATTTGTATAATTACTCATGTAATCACAGGCAGCATTGTATTTGAATGGGAGAGAGATATTTCAAATGTTTATCTAATTTACTTCCCACTGACAAAGTTGTTTGCATTAACCATGATTGGTTATTTCCTGATTTAGAGTGAATAGAGAAGCGAACAGATCTTGAAGTCACTTGCATTTTACACCGATGAGCTTTCTTACTTTGGTAACAAGTTCATTCGCAATCATGATATAATTGTCAGCGATTTATGTTCACAGATTTCGTTTGTTCCATGTCAGTTTGCATATTTTTGTTTAATGACGTGTTTGGAGTTTATTTGTTCTGTTCAAAGGCCAATGTAAATCAAATGTGAATGGTGAAATATAGGGACAAACATGTCTTCAAGTCAATGTTATCTGTGCCATGGCAGATTCAGGTCGCCATCCAACAGGCATGGAGGATGCACTGCAACGGGTCACTGCATCGCCACTGAATTTTATGAGCAGGACAGCCTTAAATTTTGGGGAAATTCGCAATTGGATGTGCAGGTCTTTTTTTTTTTTTTTTTTTTACCTGCTTGAATATTGAAAGAAAGAGAGAACGAGCAGGAGTCTGTTTTCAAAAAAAAAAAAAAAGAGTTGCCGGGAAAATATTGAAGTTTACAGTATGCACAAATCAAAGCCACTTTAATTTTTAAACCATATCAGGAATACTGGACAGGATGATGTTAAGTTGCGAACAGATCCGTTCAAATTAAAATGACCGTACATATTCCGATATAGCAACCTCTTCAGGAAGCTGGCACGTACATTATTGTCAGGACTCAGGAGTTCTTCACAACTCAATTAGCTGACAAATAAGCTTGTCAAACAATTTACAAGACTATACCTGTGTGCATTTAACAATTGCTGGCAAGCTGTTGAGGATTTAGCGGAGCAAACATCAAGTTCAGCCGAGATGCATGCTAGTGAAGATTCTCGGACGATAATAGGAAGGCATGACACTTTTAGAGCTTCTTGAACACAGCTTTCAGATGTGGTTGGAGACCAGTTAGGTTGGTAGCCATTTGAACCGTATACGATAAATCTCCATTAATCAATTCAAAAACTCTACTTATCTCTTTCACCTGGCAAAGGAAAAGGAAGGTGATGCAAATAATTCTCAATCGCTCACAAGCAAGTTGAACAGAATTGCTTTAAAAGAGCATCCAGGCAGTACTAAAAAAAAGACCACTAACACAATTTCGATGCTTCTCTAAAGGCGTTGATTTCCAATCTTCATTTTTCTTCGGTATCTACTTTTAAGATAAAAACATATACTACAATCACATAATTCCTGCTTTCTTCAATGGACCAAACTATTAACTATGCTTCTATATCTCTCATATTCATTCCAAGTTGTACCTCTGTCTTACAATCCATCCATGCTAATATATAGTCATCCTGGAGATACAATTAGTATCAACATAAACGAACAAGCTTAGCATTACCATTACTAGAATGGTGACTCGTAAATGCCTATCTATAAATTTTCCTTTTGCTCTCGGTATTTTACAACAAATTGTGCTGGCCTCTCATGCCAAACAATAGAGTGACCTCAAGAAACCATTAAATTGTTACATTGCTCAAGGATAGCATGCTTGTGTTGTGCAGGAATTGAAGGAAAGGCCTTTTTAATATCTATGCTGAAAGATGAAAATCAATGCACAAATTTGAGCTAGCTTTCATCTAATGGTCGAGAGAAAGAGCTTAAGACTTATCCATGACAAAATGGTTCTGAATTACAGAAAAAGGTTGCTGGCATATAATTTGAAATAACAATGAATTTGATTTTGTCTTTAGGACCATAAACCAACTGGTTATCAAGAATGCAGCCAACTAGTTATTATGCTCCAAATAACCATTCCCAACCTAATTTTGTATATAGCAACTGTAAATGCAGACCTGGAACATTGGCAATCGTAATGGATATACAGTACACTCTTTCCAATAATTAAGGCAACTGAAAAGGAAGTTTCATGCTTCATCAACCAACAGTGAAGCATTCTTTAATTAGTAATAAAAATTTAACCAAAAAGCTTATTTGATTGTGTAAGTAATCTATCAAACAAACAACATGAATAGTTGGGTGGGGGAAGAAAAGAGAAGAAAAGAGAAGAAAAGAAAATCACCTTAGAAGCATTGCCCACCAGTTGACTTTGAAGCTTGATCGTTTTATCTTGTGCATTATAAGTCCCTTTCTACAAACAATTAATTTAGTATGTATAATTCACCTTAACACCAATAATCAAGATAGAAAACCAAAACATAAACAGACCCATATCGTTTTTATCGTCAAAAAGTAAGACATGAAAGTGAGAAACCTGGACTTCAACAAGGCCGGTGCTCTGAGCAATGACAACTTCAATAGTACCATCAGGCTTGGGTCTCCAGTAACCACTCTCAGCATGCATAGGTTCCCCAGAATTGAGTTTCCATGTCTTTTGAGTATAAGCTATCACAGGCTACCAATAGTAATCCTACTTAGTATTTGCTAATTTCGTCTTTTATCCTTAATTTTGCGAGTCAAACTCAAAACTAAAGGAAAGAAGTATTGAAGCTATACCTTGCCAGGATTGGAAGAGAAATGGAGCTCTTCTCCGTAAGAGAAAGAGTTGATGGTGGGATAGCCACCTTCCCCTTGGCCCCTCCATGTCCCCAGCAGATATGAGAGTGGTACTATTGCTGGATGCACAGCTGCTGCTAATGGTGGCGTGCCAGAGTCCATCCTCTATTGCTGCTGTTCTGGATTTCTCTACCTGAGAGTTGAGACTTTATCTTTGAATAAGACCTTGTTTTACTGTGGGTTAAGCGGACAAAGTTATAACCAGCCAGTGCCAGGCTGCTCTGCCATCTCCGCCTTCACTTGTCTCCTCTCCTATGGCGTGGTCATGGGCTCATGGCTGGGCTTTATAGTGGGCCATTTCAAGCCCGAATTGTTTAGTACGAGGCTCGGCCTAACTAAAGCTTAAAAAAAAAAAAAAAAAAAAAACACCGTTTTGCTAAATTTCATCAAATTGAGTTAATTAACTAGTTTTTTTCCCTCACTGTGCTGAATTGGATAAGACAAATAAAATTATTTAAAAATATCATTCTACGTTGATAGTTCTTGCTATGCAGTAGATCCGAAAAGATATATGAAGTAAAAAATAAATAAAAAAACCTAATTTTTAATTTTTTAATCAAAATTTTGTATTGAACTATTTTGTCTATAAGAAATATATTGAAAATTTTGAAGTTAATATTAATAAAAAATTGATTTTGATCATTTTTGAATATATAAAGAAAAAGCAAATAAAATATGTTAATTCTTTCTTGAATTATTTTTTTATTTCTAGACCATGCATGACTAGTCCTTGTGGGCAAGCTTCACAAGCAAAGTACTAATCTCTCCTTTTTTTTTTTTTTTTACCATATTCAACTTTCAATTATTAATTAACTATTTTGAAAATTATTTTTTTCTAAAAAATACAAAACAAATTATCTCAATCACGCTTTTAATTTAAAACGTGTCTTTCAAATAAATTATACACACGCATCATATTTTTATAATTTAAAAATTTTAAGAATCAATCATATATATTATATCAATATATTTTATTAAGAAAAAAATAATTATGTTCTAAAATTTGATTCCAAAATCTATACATAAAGAAAATAAATCATAACTTTCAATAAATATATTTTTAAATTAAGTAGACAAGAATTTTCATAAGAAATAACAAATTAAAAGAATAAATTTTAAATAATAAGAATAATCTAATCTAAAATATATATTAAATTTAAAATATAAAAATATATTATTATATATTTATTTCTCCACAGACTGTATGAGAAATCAAAATAAATAAATAAATAAATAACGATTGATCTTTCATAATTTTCTCCCAAAAATCCATTTAAAAAAAATATTAAAACAAATTACTAGGGAAAAAAAAAAAAACAAGCCGAGGTGCAAGCCTGCGCGGTTGGGCCTAGAGAGCGAGGCCCGCGTGCTTGAGCCTGGAGAACCATGCTTGCGGGGGCAAGATTTTTTTTAAAAAAAGAAAAAGAAATCGAGAATGGATGATAGGTTGTTGGCTGGCTCCTCAGTAAACAAAAGGGTCGTTTGTCAATAACTTTCGACGAACTCAAGTTCTTTGGAAAAATTTGACTGAAAAATCGAATTTCCAATTCTTGGCTTCCCCAACCCAAATTAAGCATAATTGTTATCTAAAAATACATCAAATTGATAGAAGACAAGGTCACTAAACTTATTAAGAACCTCAAAAAATATTTTCATACGTACAAAACTTATAAAAAAACTCAAAATATTTTAGGATATCCGGATTTAATTTCTCCAACCAATTCATACCTTTTGACCACCATAAAAGAATTCTTCTCTTTAAGACAAATAAATTGAGTTTAAGATCAAGAGTAAATGTGATTGGAATGAGACTCGTACCTAAAACAGTAGTATTTGATGGTTCTGTTTTTTTTAATAATAGAGTAACCTAAATTTTTGTCACAATAATGTTGCTAAACAAATCAATGTTGTCTAAATTTTTTCTTAATAAATGTTGGCTTGTTAGTTAAGAATTAAATGAAATAAAAGCAAAATTCTACCTTTTTATTTTAAGAAAATATTTTAAAACACATAACTACTCTAACAATTCAACGATCTAAGTTGCAGAAAAAACAAATATAAAATGCAACAATATTTAATTTAAATTAAAAAAAACATGAATATATGATTAAAGTATCAGTTTAAGTTGAATTTTTAAACCAATCACTATTGATTCAACCTTCCATGTTGTGTACGCAACATGGAGGGCCATCGACTGATAAAGGTTATAGTTTGCGATTAGTTAGAGAAATTAATTATTTTCTAATTTTTAGCTACATTTTGAAGGAATTTTTGCCTATTTACTTACTGACATAGTATCTCATTAATTATGTGAGTCCTAAATGTTATATTAGGAGTCAATGTCCATGTGATCATTTAATAGACATATAAGATTTAATTAACAAGCATCAAATTAGATATTTTATTGTTATTTTATTGTTAGAAATAAAAATATCGGACACATATTTGAACAAAATTAAATATTAAACACTCAATAGTGAAAATCAGATAAGTTTAGACATTTTAAATAGCTTTATCCCTTTTTTTCTTTTCTTTTTATTATCTACGTAAGCAAGAATTTTCATTTTTCAAGTAGTAATTAAAAAGAAAAACTCGTCAATCATTGATGGACCGAGTTTCGATTCAGCTTTATATTTTAAGAGGATGATAGGGTGCCAAAGTAGCGTAGCACTATACTTGCCACTTGGCACGTCTTTTTAACACTTTAGTTCTTGAATTTTATTTTTATTTTTATGTATTTTTAAATTTCAATTTTAGTCGTGATGAACATATGAGAATTCTATTTTAGTATTTAATTAGATTTTTTATTCGCGTTACGTATGCGGATTGGATAAAATATATAAAATCATATAGAAAAATTATTTCGAGTTTAATAATCTGTTTTATGATAAAAAATAATTATAATTTTTAAATGAAAAAATTTATATTTAACTATTTCTTATTTCTGTTTTTAAATTTTAGAAATAAATAATAAAGCAAATAAATTATTGATTTCTTTAAAATTTTAACACCCAATTAATTGTTGGTTCTTTTAAAATTTTAGCACCTAATATCATTAAGAAATTAAAATTAAAAAAATTCAATGTTTAGGAAAAAAAAAGGGAGGCCAGCTGTTTACTGTTCATGTGAATAGTAAACAGACAGAAATTAAAAAAAAAAGTGTTTAGAGGGAAAAAAAAAGAGAGGGCAAGCCGTTTACCATTCAAATAAACAATAAACGGGTAAAAAAAGGAGGGGGAGGCCGATGGGTGCTGGAAAAAAAAATGAAAACTTAAAAAACCAAAAAAAGCCAAAGTAATATAACAATGAACGAGTGATTAACACTGTTCATTGCTACGATGAAAAATAGTTTTTCTTTAGTATATAGTATTAGATTTTTTACTTGCACTATCTTGCGGGTTTGATAAAATATATAAAATCGTTTAGAAAAATTATTTCAATTTAATAATCTGTTTTATGGTAAAAAATAATTATATTTTTTAATAAAAAATTTTGTATTTAACTATTTCTTATTTATTTTTTTAAATTTTAAAAATAAATAATAAAGGAAATAAATTGTTGGTTTCTTTAAAATTTTAACACCCAATTAATTATTGGTTCTTTTAAAATTTTAACACCAAATACTATCAAGAAACAGAAATTAAAAAAAAAATTCAATGTTTAGGAAAAAAAAGGGTGCAATAACCGGATTTTGGGTTGGGGGGGGGGGCAACGAGTCTAGCCAAAAAACAAAAAAACAAAACACTATAGCAATGAACAAGTGATTGATATTGTTCATTGCTACAAGTGAAAAAACGTTTTGGTTTAGTATATAGAACTAGATTTTTTACTCACGCTACGCTCCGGATTGGATAAAATATATAAAATCATATAGAAAAATTATTTCAGTTTAATAATTTGTTTTATGATAAAAAATAATTGTAATTTTTAAATGAAAAAAAATTATATTTAACTATTTCTTATTTGTGTTTTTCAATTTTAGAAATAAATAATAAAGCAAATAAATTATTAATTTTTTTAAAATTTTAACACCCAATTAATTGTTGGTTCTTTTAAAATTTTAACACCTAATATTATTAAGAAATTAAAATTAAAAAAAAATCAATGTTTAAGAAAAAAAAAGGAGGCCAGTAGTTTCTTGTTCATGTGAATAGTAAATGGACGGAAATTAAAAAAAAATAGTGTTTAGAGAAAAAAAAAAGAGGGCAAGCCATTTACCATCCAAATGAACAATAAACGGGTAAAAAAAAGGAGGGGGAAAGGCTAGCGGGTGCTAGCAAAAAAAAAAATGAAAACTTAAAAAACAAAAAAAGCCAAAGTAATATAGCAATGAACGAGTGATTAACATCGTTCATTGCTACGATGAAAAATTGTTTTTACGTAGCATATAGTATTAGATTTTTTACTCGCTCTATCGTCGCGGGTTGGATAAAATATATAAAATCGTTTACAAAAATTATTTCAATTTAATAATCTGTTTTATGGTAAAAAATAATTATAATTTTTTAATAAAAAATTTATATTTAATTATTTCTTTTTTTTAATTTTAAAAATAAATAATAAAGAAAATAAATTGTTGGTTTCTTTAAAATTTTAACACCCAATTAATTATTGGTTCTTTTAAAATTTTAACACCAAATACTATTAAGAAATAGAAATTTTAAAAAAATTCAAAGTTTAGAAAAAAAAAAAAAGGTGCAAGCCGTTTACTGTTCATGTGAACAGTAAATGGGTGAAATTTTTTTAAAAAAGGAGAGCGGACGTACTGTTCAAATGAACAGTAAATGGATTGTTTGGGGGGGGGGGGGGGCAACGGGTCTAGCCAAAAAAATTAATGAAAATTGAAAAAAAAAAACACTCGTATCAATGAACAGTGATTTACACTCGTTCGTTGCTACGGTGAAAACCCATTTTGCTTTAGTATATAGGATAATAATGCATAACCTAAAGGATTTGAATTATATAATTCTTTAACTAATTTGGTGGACTAAGATAGGCTTTTGTGAATTTTATCAGATGAGATTATGTTGTAGAAAATTCTAATGACAGGAGAGGAATTGTCGAAATAGATTTCTTCCACCTTTTCAGAAAACCAATAATCAAATGGTGGGCAAAATACAATTTTGAAGAAAAAAAGCTCTTTTTTCTTAATCAAGCCAATTCGGAAGCTCCAAAATCCTTGGTCAAAGCAATCCTCAAAGAGCTTTTATCTTCTATTTTTAAAAAAGAGATCGAACAATCTTTATCAAAAATTATGAATAAATAAGATATTGAGACTAATAAGTCTCTGTTTTAAGATTCACAAGATCTTAATGAAGATCTTAATAATTATGTAAATATGATCGACACTCTCAATGTTTATCTTGATTTTTTAAGTTAAGTTCACTTTCGACCTAAAATAGCCTCACCGCCATCGTGCTTTTAGCCTAATTAAGTCATCATCATGCTTTCGACCTAATCATGCCCCACTTTTATTATAAAAAGTGTCGATCAATTTATCTTTTTTGGATTCTTTGATAAAAAAACATTAGATCTTTTTTTCCACTATTGTCCGTCATCTACTCGACTTTATTTTTGTTTTTATTTATTTTTGATCACTTATAAAAAAATGCTTTAAGTTGTTTATTTTTTGGCCATCCATCATCAAAGTATTATATTTTGTTTTCTTAAAAGCTCTATGTATAAGGATGTTTTTATTTTCGTTGTAAGCACTAAAATTTTTGAGAAATTTTATAATACATAAAGAATAACTAATGATATGTACGAGTAATTACTCTATTAATCTACTTCGAGGAGAGAGATAAATAAATAAAAAAAATAGAAAAATAGAGAGAGAAAATTAAAAAAAATTAAGCAAACGTGAAAATCTTACTATCACTTTTAGTAGATTCGAATATAATTCAATATGTCTATCTCTCTCTTCAAAGTGAATCCATTGAGTAACTACTGTATCTCTCCTCAAAGTGAATCCATTGAGTAACTACTGTATATACCATTAGTTATTCTTAATGTATTATAAAATTTCTTAAAATTTTTAACATTCAAAATAAAGAGGGTTTCTTTTATAAAAACAGTGCGAGTTTATGATTTTTCTGTACAACCGTCTTTATAAAAATAGTTTGAGTTTATGAGTTTTCTGTACAACCTTCCTCCGTAGCCGCCTTCTGTGAATTTTATAATATATTTGACTTTATTCCAGTCTAGAGGGTTGAAACAAATTTGTTTAACCTTTCGTTTCATCCTCTTCTCTAAAATAGAAGTGCATCATTTTAACTCCACAGAATCACATCACAAATGGAAGATAAATTTGTTAAATACTTTGTGGTAGACGCGTTCACTGACTCGGCTTTCAAGGGAAACCCAGCTGCTGTTTGTTTGTTAGAAGAAGTAAAGGATGAAAAATGGCTACAAGCTGTGGCTGCTGAGTTCAATATCTCCGAGACGTGTTACTTGACTCGAATCAGCACTGATGTTGCCGTCACTTCCAATCCCAGGTTCCGACTTAGATGGTTCACTCCTGTTGCCGAGGTCAACTTTTTGGCCTTTCCTAGTTAGTTTTGATCATTTATATATTTTCTCCTTTTCTTTTTAAATAGTCCTCTAAATGATTGTTCTTTTTGTGGGCGATTAATTTTTGTTGTTATTAAGTCTAAACTAATTCTGGATCAATTGGGTGACGTTGTTTTGAATATTTTTGGCCAATTCGATGGGTTCATGTACTTGTGATTCATTCATTTTTATGCAAGATACTAGCAAGTTCATTGCTTTTTAATGATTCTTAAACAAAATTATATTTTAAATATTTTTAGCTAATATTTGACTAACTATACTGTACTACATATGCATGAATTCCTGTTTGTATTTTGAGGTTGATGATTGGTAATAGAGAGGGATTCTGAATTATTACCCTTTTCCAATTCGCAGGTTGAGCTTTGTGGCCATGCAACATTAGCTGCTTCACACGCACTATTTTCAAATGGCTTGGTAAATTCTAACATTATTGAGTTTGACACGCTATCAGGCATTCTGACTGCTAAGAAAGTTCTTCAAAGTATCAAACCTGAGTGTGTCTCAAATGGTGAAGCAAAAGAGAGTTTTCTCATTGAATTGGATTTCCCAATTGTTCCAACAACTGAATTCTCCATAGATGCTATGTCGATTTCTAAGGCACTGAATTCTGCTTCAATAATTGATCTCAAGAGGACCACCACCTCTGATGACCTCTTCGTAATATCTTCAATTCCCTTTCTCTTTAATGTTTTATTATTCACTTATATACTTAAGTTTGCAACTTTAGTTTTTTTTTCCAAACATAAATTTGCAACTAAGCACAGATCTTATTTTAAAAAAGTAATGTTATGTTAGCACGAATGACTCAAACATGTCATCTTTGTCATTTTTTGTAATTGGATATGATACTAAATTAATTCCGTTGAATGTTGAGTTTGTTTATGTAGCAAAAATGATAGCTTGTCATGTTTTGCAGGTTGTCTTGCCATCTGGTAAAGACGTTACAAAATTAAATCCACAATCTGACGAGATACGTAAATGTCCTGGAAGTGGGGTAATTGTTTCTGGAGTTGCTCCACCAGATTCTGGATTCGATTTTTATAGTCGTTTCTTCTGCCCAAAAGTTGGGATTGATGAGGTAATTTTATTGGCATTTGGTCTCATTAATCATAATGCTCTTCAGACTCCTAATTTTAAATACCTTCCGTTGCAATGGAAATATATTCCTAATTGATTGAAAAATTAAAAGAAGTTCCTGACATTAAATGTCAGGCCTGTCACCAAACCTGATGAGTATCATATCTGCAAATTGAATAGAACATGATTGCCAAAATAGTAAGGATGCTAATTGCTAAATTCTTTTGTCTGCTTTACATACTCAACCGACATAAAGACTGCCCTGAATCTAGGCTACCTGACCAACATCAATTTTGATAACTGAATGGATAAACCTACCTAATTTCTCTTATTTTGCCGGACCCCTTCATTCCTTGATGCTGTTGGTCCAAACAACACTGAATTTTCAGTAACTGAAAATCGAAGTTGAACTTCGAACCCTCTAAACAAAATTGAATCTGTGAACACTTCCTCATGTTACATGTTTGAATTCTTCAGGATCCTGTCTGTGGGAGTGCACATTGCGCGCTAGCACCTTATTGGAGCAAAAAGCTTGGAAAGTGTGATTTAATGGCATATCAAGTAGTACTCTCTCCTTCGTCTCTCAAAGATGGTAGTCTTCGCAAATTATATATTACTTACATTGTTTATCTTCTTCAGGCATCTCCTAGAAGTGGGATATTGGACATCCATTTAGATGAGCAGAACCAGAGAGTGTTGCTGCGAGGGAAAGCTGTTACTGTGATGGAAGGCTCTCTACTGGTTTAGATTTGAAGTTGATTTCTGTTGTGCATGTATGAGAAAATAAATCGCAGTTATTGAATTGAAGATTCCCTTCGTTTTTCAATTAAACCTTTTGATTTGAAATCTTGTATGATGCCTTTTCACTATACACTTATTCTCTCCTTAAGTTTGCACTGTGTGTCCTTCAACATATTAAATGAGATCATCAGCTCTTTTATTCTTTGTTATCACAGCTTTCATTAATTCTGGTATCTTGAATTGATTTTGGAAATTTTACTTAGTTATTAACGGATCAAATCCATTTGACTGCTGTAGATTTTTTAGCAAATCTGGAACATTGGTTCCATGATAGTGGTTTGATCTTGCTGGAATTTGGTTCCTGAGAAACTAATAAAAGAGTCGAGTGTTGTCAGACTTTCCAGACATAAAAAATGTCAGTAAAGACCTTCATCATTGTTATGAAAGATTTGTTAACTCACAACTTTTGTCTGTCAAGGACTACGACGAATTTCCAATGGAACAAAGTGCTCCGTTTGCTCTTTCAATTGCTCCTCGGGTATTACACAGAATTTCCAATGAAATGTGCTCAGGTTGCAACTTTTTGTTTTTTCTTTTCTTTTTGTTGCTAGGTATATATGTTTCGCATATGGCTATAGCTGCCGATATGTGTTTTGAAATTGAATTTCGCATGTGGAAATTGCCACAAAAAGGTCAGGAAACAAAGCAAAAAATTCAAGGTATCTTTTTTACTGGTCTAGTCATTATGCTACACAGCCTTTTCTTTAGTCATATATTCAAAGAAACCAAAAAATTTGAATTGCCATCCATCAAATTTGTTATGACTTTCCTTATTTCATTTGCTAGGTGTGCACTCACTCCATCGACATAGATGCAAACGAGGGGAAGGTGACAGTCTCAAGCACAGTAGACCCTCATGTACTAGTAGAAGAGTTTGCAAAGACTGGGATCGAAGAAAGCACAAGTTCCGTGGGAACCAAGACCTCTCTTGATGAACCAAAACAAAGTTGATAACAGAGGCAAGAGAATGCAAATTGGACTTCCCGATGCCCAACGAAATGGAATTGATTAGTATCAGCTGGCTCAACTGCAAAAATTCGCTGAGAATAAAAGGTTGAACTAAACCAAACCAACAACATAAAGATGACCTTCAATGACAATGGTGATATCAGTCATATTGATCGCGCCAAAGACATCACTACGAACACTTTGCATGAGCCTAGAGGGAATAATGGAGCTATGAATGGGCACAACCAGCCACCTATGAATACATTTGGTCGAGGCCAATATGGTAATATCGGTGGTGCAAGCAGCAACAGAGGTCCTGCTCTTTCTGACGGTGGTGGTGGTGGTGGACGTGGTCCAATAATAAAAAAATGTACCTCCTTGTTGCCATGATTTTGAGTTCAGCTGTAGTGGCAATAGACTGGGTGAGGAGAAGGCTCAAAGGCCTCTACTGCCATACAGTTGTGTTCCTACTGGTCCCATGCCCACATATTACTATATTCCTTACGGTGAACCACCACCTAATCAGTATGCTAGATAGGATGAGACAAATAGAATTTGAATGGAGTAAACCATATGGTACTAGAATAAAGAGTAGATGAGAGTGGATTGAACTAGACAAGTATTGCGCGACAAGAATTTATATAGAAATCATCGATATATATATATATATATATATATATATACACTTTGTTCATGATGCATATAGAAATCATCGATTGAATATCTACTCAATTGATCGAAATTGGATATACCGAATTAGAAATAAAAATGCTTATTCGATGGATTTATAAAAAATACACGGTCAATTAGTGTGTTTTTCCAAATTTATTTTACCTTTGTTTCGTCCTCTTCTCCCAAAATAGAAGAGCTTCCTTATAAATGCACAGAATTACATCACAAATGGGAGAGAAATTTGTTAAATACTTTGTGGTAGACGCATTCACTGACTCGGCTTTCAAGGGCAACCCAGCTGCTGTCTGTTTATTAGAAGAAGCTGTAAAGGATGAAAAATGGCTTCAAGCTGTGGCAGCTGAGTTCAATATGTCCGAGACGTGTTAATTGACTCGAAACAGTACCGATGTTTCCGTCACTTCCAATCCCAGGTTCCGTCTTAGATGGTTCACTCCTGTTGCCGAGGTCAACACTTCTTTTGGCCTTTTGGTGTTAGTTTTGGTCTTATATGTATTTTCTCTTTTTCTTTTTAAATAGTACTCTAAATGATTGTTCTTTTTGTGGGTGATTAATTTTTGTTGTTGTTATTAGGTCTAAACTACTTCTGGATCAATTGGGTGGCGTTGTTTTGAATATTTTTGGCCAATTCGATGGGTTCATGTACTTGTGATTCATTCATTTTTATGGAAGATACTAACAAGTTCATTACTTTTTAATGACCTCTAAAAAAAATTATATTTTGAATATTTTTGGCTAATATTTGACCAACTGTACTGTACTACACATGCCTGATTCTCCTGTTTGTATTTTGTTCCTGTTGTTGATTGGTAATAGAGATGGATTCTGAATTATTATCCTTTTCCAATTCGCAGGTTAAGCTTTGTGGTCATGCAACATTAGCTGCTTCACACGCACTATTTTCAAATGGCTTGGTACATTCTAACATCATTGAGTTTGACACGCTGTCAGGCATTCTGACTGCTAAGAAAGTTCCTCAAAGTATCAAACCTGAGTGTGTCTCAAATGGTGAAGCAAAAGAGAGTTTTCTCATTGAATTGGATTTCCCAATTGTCCGAACAACTGAATTCTCCATGGACGCTGTATCGATTTCTAAGGCACTGGATTCTGCTCCAATAATTGATCTCAAAAGGACTACCACCTCTGATGTCCACTTCGTAATATCTCCAATTCCCTTTCTCTTTAATGTTTTATTATTCATTTGTATCACTTAAGTTTGCAACTTGTATTTGTTTTTTCCAAACATAAATTTGCAACTAAGCACAGACCTTATTTTAAAAGATTAATGTTATGTCAGCAAGAATGGCTCAAACATGTCATCTTTGTCATTTTTTGTATCTGGATATGATACTAAATTGATTCCGTTGAATGTTGAGTTCGTCTGTGTACCAAAAATGATAGCTTGTCATGTTTTGCAGGTTGTCTTGCCATCTAGTCAAGATGTTACAGAATTAAATCCACAATTTGACGAGATACTTAAATGTCCTGGAAGGGGGTAATTGTTTCTGGAGTTGCTCCACCAGAGTCTGGATTCGATTTTTATAGTCGTTTCTTCTGCCCAAAATTTGGGATTAATGAGGTAATTTTATTGGCATTTGGTCTCATTAATCATAATGCTCTTCAGACTCCTAATTTTAAAATACCTTCCGTTGCAATGGAAATATATTCCTGATTGATTGAAAAATTGAAAGAAGTTCAGGCCTGTCACCAAACCTGATGAGTATCATATCTGCAAATTGAATAGAACATGATTGCCAAAATGGTAAGGATGCTAATTGCTAAATTCTTTCATCCGCTTTACATACTCAACCGACGTAAAGACTGCCCTGAATCTCGGCTACCTGACCAGCATCAATTTTTATAACTTAACGGATAAACACCTACCTAATTTGTCTTCTTTTCTGGATCCCTTCATTCCTTGATGTTGTTGGTCCAAACAACACTGAATTTTCAGTAACTGAAAATCGAAGTTGAAATTTCGAACACTCCCTCTGAACAAAATTGAATCTGTGAATACTTCCTCATTTTACATGTTTGAATTCTTCAGGATCCTGTCTGTGGGAGCGCACATTGCGCGTTAGCACCTTACTGGAGCAAAAAGCTTGGAAAGTGTGATTTAATGGCATATCAAGTAGTATTCTCTCCTTCGTCTCTCAAAGATGGTAGTCTTCGCAAATTATATATTACTTACATTGTTTTTATCTTCTTCAGGCATCTCCTAGAAGTGGGATATTGGACATCCATTTAGATGATCAGAACCAGAGAGTGTTGCTGCGAGGGAAAGCTGTTACCGTGATGGAAGGCTTTCTACTGGTTTAGATTTAAAGTTGATTTGTGTTGTGTATGTATGAGAAAATAAATGGCTATTATTGAATTGAGGTTTCCTTTGTATTTCAATTAAACCTTTTGATTTGAAATCTTGTATGATGCGTTTTCACTATACACTTATTTTCTCCTGAAGTTTGCACTTGGTGCCCTTCAAATTATTTAATGAGATCATTAGCTCATATCTTTTTTATTATCAGAGCTTAAGAATTCATTAATTCTGGTATCATGAATTGATTTTGGAAATTTTACTTAGTTATTAACGGATTAAACCCATTTGACTGCTGTAAATTTCTTTACAAATCTGGAACATTGGTTGCATGATAATGGCTTGATCTTGCTGGAATCTGGTTCCTGAGAAAGTAATAAAAGAGTTGAGCGTTGTCAGACCTTACAGACATAAAAATTATCATTGAAGACATTCATCATGGTAATGAAAGATTTGTTAGAAGGCATTAGTATTTGTGATTTGGAATGTATCTGATTAGTAAACATATTGCACATATGTAGCAGTAGGATGTTTGAGCAATCCAGCGACACGAACAACATGGCTGCCATATTACTCGCATGACAATGATTCTGCATTTACTTCTACATTTAAATAAAGATCTTTGTCGCTATTTCACATTCATAGGACTTCTTAAAAACTATTAAAAATTATTTATTTACTAGGAGTATGAGTTAAACTATATTTTCGAATTGTTATTTAGTATTAAAAGAATTAGAAAACTTAAAAATGACATCGGTTCGGAGATCTTAGGATAAAGAGTTGATTATGTTTTTGCGAAGATATGATCAACTAAAAACCCCAAAAACACAATTTCTAAAGAAAGATATCATATTTGGTCTAATCATAAATATTTATCTTTTAAAAAATTCAATTTTAGTCAAATTATTTCTAAGTTATTTTTTTTTATAATATCATATTGAATTGATCGTCGAACACCATTGTTAAAAGTCTTATCAATTCAATATCGGATCAAATTTAAGTTTTAACATAACCAAAATGTTAGAGAACAACCTAATTATTAAAGTGATGAGTTTGAAATGATAAATAACATCGGTCCCTATTAGAAATGAGACTTCTTAATCTAGCATTTCTCTTTCTTTTTTTTTCTTTTTTTTTTTTTGTTCTTTTCGTTTTTTTTTCTTTTTATGTCTCTCTTTTTTTAACACTTTTCTTTTTTTATATTTTCCAAGATCGGTGGAGAATCATCATTAATTTCTAAAAATCAGGAGACTCGATAATTCATCCACCTATTAATTACCTAACTTAACTATTGACTATTCAAGCAATATTCAATATTAAAATAAATTTGAAATTAAATTCTCAAAAACCTACACATACATAAAATCCACAACCACAATTTCAGATTTAATTAATATTAGTTACTAAACTAAATTGAAGTTTAGATACCAAACAAAATTGATAAGCAAGCATTAAACTAAATGAATCGAAATAAATAAGCAAAAAGAATTTCGAAAATTCTAAAAAAAAATTAATAAGCAAGCCCACTTAGAATGGGCTAAGCCCAGCCTAGTTTCTTTCCTCCCATTCTAGCTGGACTGGACTCGGCTCAATTCTTTTCTTCTTCTTCAGGTGCTAGAATGGGCCCAGCCCACGTTTCCCTCCATTTTTTTCGGGCTGGGCCTAGTTTCCTTTCTCCTTGGCCTTCTCTTTTCATTCTTTCTTTTCTTCTCCTCTTCCCAACAACACAGCGTCTGTATCAACAAGCCTCACGCGCACGGCATCATCTTCACCCTAACCAACCGAACCTCACACCATTTCTCTCATGTTCCCTTGACAGTGAACCAACAAACAAAAGAGGGGTGGGGGATTATACTTCAGGCTATTGATTAGCCTACAATGACACTGACGAAGTCACTGTCATTTTGAACACCATGGAATCCAAAATCAAAGCTAAACCGAACAATCTAAAAAGAAATGGATGAAGAACATAACTCGCAGATTTAGATGACTATGAGAGATTAAAAGAACAGTCTTCGAACGAATGGATAAGTAGCAGAGGTTGCAAAGTTTCCTCTGTTCTTGTAAAATTCAGAAACGGGGCTGGGTATTGGTAGGACTAATTCCACGTTTAGGTGCCTTTCTTTTTCTGTTTTCTGGGTTTCTTCTAATCCCAGAACTGAATGACATTTCCTAAAGCTAAGATTTTCCTTTTTTTTTTTTTTCCCAAAAAACCAGAACTCTCCTACCCCTAAAAACCAAAACTCTCCCCCTATTTATTCTCATTCACCCTCACATTTCTGGCCTTTGGATGGAACCCAATTCATCCTGGCCCTCTATTCTCTCTCCAGAGTATGCTCCTCTCTTGTTTTATCCAGAGGAGGTTTGATTCCTCAGATTTTGTTTTACTGGAGGAGCTGTCAATGGCAGCTAGAAAGGACGAGCAATTTTGTTTTTGTATGCGTGTAGGTGGTGCAGGGCATTGTGGTGCAAGTTTAATTGAAGCTTGATTACTGACTGGTACGAATGCCAGCTCGGAATTTGTATGGATGATGAACAATACTTGGAGGAAGGATTGGTCTTGAGTTGCAGCGAATGACAGGTCGTTTTGGTATATTTTGGTCCTGTCTTAAATTGCATAATTCCATTTTAGTCCTTACATGTTTCTATTGTTCGCCATTACACTCCTGATTTTCAATTCAATTTCACCCCTATTAGCTTTGAATTTCAGTCTCTATTTCATTCAATTGCACCCCTATGTCATTCAGTTTCGTCCCTAATTGACCTTCACTTTCAAATCTAGTTGTTTTAATTTCAGTCCTTATTCCCTTCAATTATATCCTTAATTAATCTTGTCATGCAAATTTTTTTTTTTTTTTTTGTATCTTTGTATTTTTATTTCCCCTTTTTTGAAAAATTGACGATGTAAACTTTTTTTTCTCTTTCTTTTTTTTTTAATAAAAGATTATCCCTAAAATTAAATATAAGCTAACAATGGTAAAAATATATCCAAATAAACATTAAAGAAAAAGTAAAATAAAAGTAAAAATAAATAATTGAAATAAATGAGAAACAGTAAAAAAATAGAAGAAAGAAAATGAATATAACTCAAATTTTGGATTATGACAATCATTATTGCATATAAATGTCACTCTTTTCTCCCTAGTTTTTCAAGGCATCTCTGGCAGCCTTCTGGTAAAAGAATAACACAGTATCTGGAGGCAATTAGCCACTAACTAACTCACCAGTTTAGTCTGTCAAGGACTACAACGAATTTCTGATGGAACGTGCTCTGTTTGCTCTTTCAATTGCTCCTCGGGTATTACGGAGAATTTCCAATGAAATGTGCTCAGGTTGCAACTTTTTATTTTCTCTTTTCTTTTTTTCCTAAGTATGCATGTTTCCCATTATGGCTGCAGATATTTATTTTGAAAATGAATTTCGCATGTGGAAATTTCCACAAGAAGGTCAGGAAACAATAGCAAAATATTCAAGGTATCATTTTTACTGGTTATTTTGCTATACAGCCTTTTCTCTAGTCTGATATATTCAAAGAAACCAAAAAAATTGAATTGCTATGCATCAAATTTGTTATGGCTTTCCTTGTTTCATTTGCTAGGTGTGCACTGACACAGATGCAAACGAGAGGAAGGTGACAGTCTCAAGTACAGTAGACCCTCATCTACTTGTAGAAGAGTTTGCAAGGATTGGGAAGAAAGCACATTTTCTGTGGGTACCAAGACCTTTCTTGATGAACCAAAATAAAGCTGATGACAGAGGTAAGAGAGTGCAAGTTGCACTTTCAGATGCTCAACAAAATGGAATTGATCAGGATCAGGATCAGCTGGCTCAAGTCAACTGCAAAAATTCGCTGAGAAGAAAAGGATGAAACTTTTGGAGCTAAACCAAACCAACATAAAGATGACCGTCAATGACAATGGTGATATCAGTCATATCGATCGTGCCACAAACGTCACTACAAACAATTTGCATGAGCCTAGAGGGAATAATGGAGCTATGAATTGGCACAACCAGCCACCTATGAATACATCTGTTAAGGCCAATATGGTAATATCGGTGGTGCAAGCAGCAGCGGAGGTCCTGCTCCCTATGGTGGTGGTGGTGGTGGATGTGGTCCAACAATAAAAAATGTACCTCCTTGTTGCCATGATTTTGAGTTCAGCTGTGGTAGCAATAGATGGAGTGAGGAGAAGGCTCAAAAGCCTCTACTGCCAGCCACCCAGTTGTGTTCCTACTGGTCCCATGCCCGCACGCAACTATATTGCTTACGGTGCAACGCCACCAAATCAGTATGCTCCCTCATGGATTGCAACCGGTGAACACCCTATACGTACCCTTGATGGGTTATGTTAGCTACAGCTTGTGGTGCAGGCTATAAATAGGTTGACGAATAATAGACCATATTCTCTTGTTGCATGCAAACCCACATGTGAATCTGGCATTCATACATTATTTCTTATAGGGCAGAAATTTCATCATAATTTTCTATTAATTTGTAATGTGTAAGTGCCTTCTTTTTTTCGTTTTTTTTGTTTTTTCTTCTTTAATATTCGTGAGTGTAGCAATTTTGAATAATAAGCATTAAGCACTACACCATTTGAACTTATGAAATAAACAATATTGACATCTTTTTATGCAATGCTGCATTTTTTTCCCCCTATTCGGCTTATGAAAGTAAACATTGCCAATGATGCAATGGCCATATAACAGCAAATCTCATTTGGGTTTCAAAGCTGGAGAGTAGTGGTGGGCAGAGAGGATGTGAAATGAAAAAGACCACTATTTTCCCTGTTTTTCACAAAAAACAATGAGGATTAAACGGATATCCACCCCTTATTCATAGCTATGACCGTTTCCCCTCCTTTTTCTTTCCTCTCCCCACGTCCTTTAGTAGTCACAAAGCTAGAAGAGCTAGCTAGAATAGAATAGTGCGTAGGTTCTCTTTTTATTTTCTTTTATATTTGCTTTATTTATGGGATTTTGTTTCCACAAAACTCTCTGAATCTTTAAATAACAATACCAAAATATTCAAATAAAGACTAACAACAAATCCACTCCTGCTGTGTTGATCATGAGTGGTGGTCCAAACAAAATCCAACCCATTCTCATTTGCTTTCTTTTTTACTTTTAACTTTCTAATCACCACCATTTTTTTATTTAGGCAGTTTCTCTCTTTGCAGATTAGCCAATGATATACCATTTTCCCTTCCATCTCAAAGCATATCCAATCATACCCAATACCATGTTTCTTTTGTTAATGCAATTTTGAGATTCTGCTGGTTGGTCTGCAATCTCTTCAATTTGTATTTCCATTTGTTATGGCTGTCTCATTGACCTTTTGTTTTGTTTATGATCCCTTTCTTGCCTTTTTATTGTACATTCTTGATACTTGTCATCCTATGTAACATAGAATGCTGTCAATCCGGCGTCGAGATAAATATATTTTAATCTATGGAATATTCAACCAGTGATTGAATTTGTATATGTTGTCCCATAATACGTGCACGCCACCACACACACAAATTATAGGTAACCTAATCATTTCTTATGAGCTGCATAGATGCTTCGATGTTCAATGCAATGCAGCCCTTTGGAGTAAAATTTGAAAATTAATTAACATTTAGCAATGTACAATTCTTTGGCTGCTCGCAGAAAAACTCTTGTTCTAGATGGTAACCTTCTACCATTGTTCCAAGAATAGGAGCAGGGGTTTTGTCTTTTGCTTTTTGCTTTTTTTGATGTTGTTGTTGATGATGTATATTTGAGAAATCGGTTTTAAAGTATTAGTCATTATGGACCTATTTCATCGTGAAACTAATGGATTTGAATTTCTTTTCCTTTTTGGCAATCAGGAATTCCTGTTAAGGGGTGGTCTCGTGTCGCTCCATCAATGTCATCTAAGCCTGACAAAGGGCCTGACTCATCTGAGGTATAAATGTCGAAGCATGTTATTGTCATCCTTGAAGACTGATTTAAAACTAGGCAGATTATGGAAATTTGTGTAGCTTGTTGCATTCTTTTGTGATTGAAACATCATTCTGCTTCTGCAGATGAGTTGCATCCCACCAGAAGAAGTAGGAAGTGAAACCAAAAGGATGGAGGGCTTTAGCACGAGTGTTGATGCCAATATAATTTGTAACAATCCTCTTTACCATGAACCCAAGAAAACGGATCCAATAGGAAAATACAGTGCGAGCTCAGGTTATGGTTCACCAAGGGCAACCAGATTTACCAAGATTACTGAAAATGTAACTTTTAATCGTCGCTTAGATCCCAAAAAGATGGATCCTTTAAGCAGGCATGTGGGAAATGCTAGTACTAATCAACGTGCGATTCCAAGCCCAACAGCGCGTTCAAATTCTCAACTCTCAACCACTTCAGCAGCAGCAGCAGAAGCAACAGCAACAGCTGCATTGCCAGCAAACATGAAGACAAATGAAGCAAAGACTTTTAGTTCCATTTCCAACCATGCCAATTTGAGTGGCAGCAGCTCCAATCGCTCCAACAGTTTAGAGAGCTCTGGTGGTGCCAACAAGCCCCACACAGGTGGTGATGTCAGATGGGATGCCATTCAGTTTGCCACTTCTAGAGGTACAATCGGTCTTAGCAACTTTAGGCTTCTCAAGCGCCTTGGGTATGGTGACATTGGTAGTGTCTATCTTGTTGAACTTAGAGGGACTAATGCCCATTTTGCCATGAAAGTAATGGACAAGGCTTCTCTTGCAAGTAGAAACAAGCTATTAAGAGCGCAGACAGAGAGGGAGATTCTTGGGCTTCTTGACCACCCATTCTTGCCCACTTTATATAATTATTTCGAGACTGATAAGTTCTACTGCATTGTCATGGAATTCTGCAGTGGAGGTAATCTTCATTCTCTTCGGCAGAAGCAACCTAACAAGCACTTTACTGAGGAAGCAGCTCGGTGAGTACTCACTTTGTGCTACGTTTTATCTTTCTATCATCAATAACTTTGAGCTTTGTAGTTGCATTCTAACAAGCATTCTCTGAATATTAGTAATTCAGTCTGCCAGTCTGAGGATGTGTTAATTATATGCTGTTATAGGATTCTGCCAATTTTGCAATAATGGAGGGCTAGGTTAGATCAGCAGCAGTTTTGCTGGGACCTTGCATCTTTTCCAGCATTGTTCACCATCTGTGCTCGCTTGATTTTATTTTTACACAATCATACTGCTTCTTACGCCTTTATGGTTTGTAATTGGACCTAGAAAATTACATTTTACAAGGTATTTCCAGCATAGTTGAATTGAGAAATATTGCTGTTAAAGGTTGATCGACCATATGATTATGCTAATTCTCCAAAATTCAAGTCCTCGCCCCTTCTCTATTTAAAATGGAATAAAGCATGATCCTTGACTTTGTGGTTGGCTTTGATAGTGATTGGATATATAAGATACCAATATCATAGACATTTCTTTCAAAAGAAAAAGGAAAAAGATAAATAAATACCATAGACATTGTGGCTATTCTCCCTTACCCTTGGTAGAGAAAATTTTTCTATGTTTCTGTCAGATGTAAGTTGATCGATTGTGTCTGTGATCTTAGACTTGTTGGAAACAAAAGCTGAATATTTTCTTTCATGAATCAAATGATCAAAAGTGCTCTTTCTTTCCCTTTCCCCATCTATGTATTTCCTGTTCTACACGTCACAAACCCCATTGTTCTTGTGCAAATGGAAGTGATACATTCTATGTTATTTTGCTGTTAACAGATTTTTTGCATCAGAGGTGTTGTTGGCACTTGAATATCTGCACATGTTAGGCATAGTATACAGAGATTTGAAGCCAGAAAATGTTCTAGTAAGAGATGAGGGACACATCATGCTCTCAGACTTTGATTTATCGCTTCGTTGCTCGGTTAGTCCAACCCTCGTGAAGTCTTCATCTGTGAATGTAAGCAACAGTAGCGGCAGCGGCAGGGGAGGCATTTTGGATGATGAATCTGTAGTGCAAGGTTGTATTCAACCATCAACATTTTTCCCACGCATATTGCCCGGTAAAAAGAGCCGAAAATCCAAATCAGACTTTGGGCTCTTTGTTGGAGGGTCAATGCCAGAATTCATGGCAGAGCCAACAAACGTGCGGTCCATGTCATTTGTTGGCACACATGAGTACTTAGCCCCTGAGATCATACGCGGAGAAGGACACGGCAGTGCGGTGGACTGGTGGACTTTCGGCATCTTCTTGTATGAGCTGTTGCATGGAACAACACCCTTCAAAGGACAAGGAAATAGAGCCACGCTATTCAATGTTGTTGGGCAGCCATTGAGGTTTCCAGAAAATCCACAGGTCAGCATGGTGGCTCGTGATCTGATAAGAGGACTTCTGGTGAAAGAACCCCATAAAAGAATTGCATACAAAAGGGGTGCTACGGAGATAAAACAGCATCCATTTTTTGAAGGAGTGAACTGGGCTCTAGTTAGAAGTGCCTTGCCTCCACACATACCTGAACCTGTAGACTTCTCACAGTATGCAAGCAAAGAAGCACCCCCAGCTGACAAGAAAGGGCCAGACATTGGAGGTGATAAAAACGGCGGTAGTCCTCCAGAAAATAACAATGAATCTTATATAGAGTTTGAATACTTTTAGGAATAATTCCAATATGTATTTTTGGGTTGATCCATAATTTGCAGTCTCTGAAAGAAACTGAAATTGTACAAAGAAAATATCTTGAGTATGTGCCTAAGAAGACTTTTGTTGACCAGAATTACATTTATTCTTTTCTAAGTGACGAGGGGAAATAAATGTTGTATATGAAAGCACAGATATTCTATCCAAGTTTACTTTTCTTTTCTTTTCTTTTCTTTTTTATATATATATATATATATATATCCCTCTTCCTTCTACGATTTAGAGAAGGATTCCATTTTGTATGATATTTTTTTCTTTCTTCCGTGGAGACATTTTAAGCTGAACCTAATTTACTCCATTTCCTTTAATTGTCAGAGCTTGTTTTTAAATGATTTAAAAGTAAAATGACCACTTATGATTTTTACCCATGATCTACCCAACATGTTCAAAATAAATCTGGAAACCAAACTGATAACAAAGACACAGACGTGGTCATATTAATGTTCTGCATCCAACAAACAAGCAGAGACTTGCTAAACAACTAATTTTATATCTAAAAAAAATATAAAAAAATCTTTACTTTAGATGGGAATGGGATCACGAGATAAGATAAGGAACGACGGAGGAGAATTATTGCTCATTCTATATCCTGGTGTGCACCCTGTATTCTTCCTCTATTTTTTAAAAAATCATAAACTTGTTTTGAGTTTTGTGTTAATAAAGCTTATGCAAAAGATTATCATTAAATAAAAAGTTCCTCTGCACAAATTGCAATAATCGACAATAAGACACAGTTTTGACCAGATTTGTACCCACGGGAGCCCCACGACCTTCCGTCCTTAACCTTACCTGGATGCCCCAAAACAGCAGTGTTGCGAAACAAAACAAAACCAGGTTTGGTGACTGAAGAGAAGAGCCCAGTGGGCTTGGAAAGGCTACAAAATCTGGCAGCTAGTCATTAGTGGCTGGGTCACCGAGAAAAAAGTACTTTTCAACAAACAAGCTCATAAAAGAGGCGCTCAACCCAACAACCATTTTGCCTCGTTTTCTCGTTTGTCTTGTAACTTTTTTAGGACACAAGACAAGAGAGTTAATATAGAAGGCAAGGAAAAATTGTACTTGTTTTCGTTGGCTTTCTTCTTTTTCTGATTGCAGTGATCACGCAGAATCAGCAAGTGAAGATGGCGTTCGATAAAATTAAGGTCACCAATCCCATCGTTGAAATGGACGGTTTGTTCTCTTCAATTTTTTTTTTAAACTTTCTTTGCTTGGTATGATGTTATAACTATCAAACTGAGCGTCTTGATTTCAAAACCCAGTGTTTTTTTGGTCGGTTTGGATTATGATTTTCTGCACTCAACCACTTTTGATCTCTTTGTGACTTGACCATGATGTTAGATTAGGAAGTTCAGCATATAATTTTGAAGCTTTGCTTTTGGATGATAAATACAGGCTTGTTATGATCTCCGTTTTTTCTTACATATGCAGGAGATGAAATGACTAGAGTTTTTTGGAAATCAATCAAGGACAAGGTTTTTTTTTTTTTTTTTGTGCTTTTTGTTGTTTTGGAAACTACACCATGATGCCATATCATGTGGTTCTTCTTATTGTATTTGCGACTTGGTTTTTGTGTTTTACAGCTTATTTTCCCATTTTTGGAGTTGGATATCAAGTATTTTGATCTTGGCCTGCCTAATCGTGATGCTACAGATGATAGAATTACCATAGAAAGTGCTGAGGCTACTCTCAAGTAAATGTGCTAATTGCTTTTGCTCTTTTGTTTTTTACTAATTCTTGTTGCAGAAGACTATGCTTTACTAACTACAATCACCATCCTCTGTGTTTTTGTTAATAGTCAATCGTTTTTCATACCTATTGCACAATTCAACTCAGAATTATGCTAAAGATTGAAACTTTTTCTGTTTTTTTCCTCTCTGTCATTGTAGATATAATGTGGCAATTAAGTGTGCAACAATAACTCCAGGTACACTAAGCTCTTGGGATCGGACAGTATTTTACCTAGTTATTGTAGTTGATCATTGCTGAACTTAAGTAAACTTGCTTTGTTGTCTGATAGATGAAGGTCGCGTTAAGGAGTTTAACTTGAAAAATATGTGGAGGAGTCCAAATGGGACAATTCGCAACATTTTAAACGGTGACCGAACTTGCCTTATTTATGCTTTACTTCCTCTTTAATCTTCAGTGTTTTCTGTTTATTGCAACTGGGCTTAATTTTTTTATTTTCTTCTATCTTGGCTATACTACAGGTACAGTTTTTAGAGAACCAATCATCTGCAAAAACATTCCAAGGCTTGTTTCAGGTCAGCGATGACTTCTTTATTTTCTGTTTGATTCAGGGTTGCTGAAAACAACACAGAAATTCAAGCTCTGTTTTATTTTGTTTCTTTTTCAGGTTGGACCAAGCCAATCTGCATAGGAAGGCATGCCTTTGGCGACCAGTACCGAGCAACTGATGTAGTTATACAAGGACCTGGCAAACTAAAGCTGGTATTTGGTAAATATCCTGTTTCCAACAGTGGTCTCTCAAATTAACTTCTTTTGGGTAGTTTCACTTTGTGTGAGACTTGCGAAACTGCTGCAGAAATTCAAAATCTGCTTCCCTCATGTTTACATATCTCATCATGTTAAGGTGATTGCAAGTTATGCAGAACCTGATGGACACAATGAAAAGAAAGAGTTTGAGGTTTTCAATTTCAAAGGAGCTGGAGGTGTAGCTCTGTCCATGTATAACACTGATGAGGTTCTGATATTGTTTTTTCTTCGTTTCTTCCTTTTCCTTTTTCTAGGTAGCCAACTGACTAAGTTGCTAGAAGTCGTTAACAATTGTTATTGTTCTATTTGATTTGGAAAACAGTCCATCCGTGCTTTTGCTGAAGCTTCGATGAACACTGCTTACCTGAAAAAGTGGCCACTTTATCTTAGCACAAAAAATACCATTCTTAAAAAATATGATGGAAGGTAACATGTTGGGATGGAGGATTTAGGTCATGGCACTTGAATTTGCTTCTTTTATGTGGAATGACATTGTTGGTTTTCATCTCCTATATTGATATTTTCCTACTTTTGACTTTTCTTAAGATTCAAGGACATATTCCAGGAAGTTTATGAAATTCAATGGAAATCCAAGTTTGAGACTGCAGGAATTTGGTGAGTATTTTTATGCAGATGGTGGTTGATCTGGCCAATTTAAGGAACTTTTCATTTACTCACATTGCTGAATTGTAGGTATGAACATCGTCTCATCGATGATATGGTTGCTTATGCTCTCAAAAGTGAAGGAGGTTATGTGTGGGCATGCAAAAATTATGATGGAGATGTGCAGAGTGATTTCTTAGCCCAAGGTTTGGATGACATGCCCTGATTTCCCTAGCAACAATACCTACCTATCTTCTTTTGTTGCCTTTGTGGCTTGTGAATTGTTCTGGAGGGTTGCATTGAAGAATTCGGTGCTTTGTTGAATAGTCTTAATTTTTATTTTTTTTTCTTTGGTACAGGATTTGGATCTCTTGGGTTGATGACTTCAGTTTTGGTATATCTGCTGTATTCATTTTTATCTTCTTTTAAATTTCTTTTATCATTTTCCTCTCCTTTAATTACACACACACACACATAACAGTTTCTATTGTGTTCCAGGTGTGCCCAGATGGGAAAACAATCGAAGCTGAAGCAGCCCATGGCACAGTTACTCGCCATTATCGGGTTCATCAGAAAGGAGGTGAAACTAGCACCAACAGCATAGCATCAATTTTTGCTTGGTCAAGAGGTCTTGGACACAGGTAATTTAATATTTGCTTAATCAGACAGCTAAATCTGCACTGACTACATTGTTTGAATTTCTAAGATTGGGATTGTCTACAGCACCACTGAAACCTTGGATGAGAACTTGACTATAATTATATTATCAGGGCAAAGTTGGATGGCAATGTCAGACTATTGGATTTTACTGCAAAACTAGAAGCATCCTGCATTGGAGCTGTTGAATCAGGGAAGATGACCAAGGATCTTGCACTTCTTATTCATGGACCCAGGTAAGGAATGAAATAAAAAAGGTGATTTTATTTTAAAGTTTTCACTATAACGTAGCTAAAAGTTTTATACCATTGCAGGGTTAGTAGGGCTCAGTATCTGAGTACAGAAGAGTTCATTGATGCTGTAGCTGAGGAGCTGAGGTCAAGACTGTCAGTCAAAGCAAAGTTGTAAAATTCTGGCTTCTAACTTGGCAATAATATTTACTCAGAAGTTGGGTTCAACTCGCATACGGGCACGGTATATGTTCCAATGGTTTTTTCCTACTTTGAATCTATTTCCTCATGCTTTATCCATGCGTCATTTCTCTGTTTAGTTTTTGCACAAGGGAATGGGGTAAACTTAATTCTATCCTTTTGGGAAGTAGAGTTGAGGTTTGGCCAGCAAATTTTGACATTTCTGATTGATTCTTATTGCAGGTCTGGATAGGAAGGGACTATCGAAGACTGGACAGCCTAGGGAGAGAAATTGGATGGAATTATTATTAAATTTATGTATCTTCGAAATAAGCTACCATAGTGGCTGAAGAGAACTGATGGTTGATTGCTCTTTTTGCTGACACTGCTATTGTTCGTTCTATGATTTAAAGTTTCTTTTAAATTTCATTTCCTTTGGCCAAAAAGAAACAAAAAAGGCAACTTTTCTTGCCATGGATTGTCGGATTATTTTTTCAACCAATCACTTCGCATATAGGTATCGTTTAGTTTTGAAGTATGGCGTCAAGCAGACAAATTTGTGGATGTGGAAATCTTGATGAACAACTTGGTCCTAATTCACATCTCTGTCGCCGGTAAATGAGTTGTTAGAAATTGCAAATTGAACTATAATGATGTTGAAATATCTGTCTGGAAAACCATTGATAAGGTAAAACCGCATGACTTTAAAAAAAGATCGCATGAAATTAATCATTAAATTGTTAATATTATTTAAAACTCGTTGGTCTTTTCACAATTCGAGCACAAATTTGGATACACGTGTGAATCATTGAAATCGTTGGACTGGGACGGAAAAACCATAAAGTTCATTACATGGTTTACTTCCAATTCGATTGCTGGCAAATGGCCATTTGGCCCATATCTAACCAAAGCTGTGACCACCACACGATGGTAGAAAAGGAAATAGGGACCATGGTATACTTACTGCAACTCCATTCTCATGTTTAATTCAGTAAAATCGTGTGCATTTCCATTCTCATGTTAATGATTTTGTCCAGAGGTTAAGAAAAAACATGTACTGGTCCTATATTTTATGAAGGACTTGTCCTGCAAGTGACCCTTAACCACCCCCCAGCGCCTACCAAGCGGAGGATTATTTCCAATTCTTCTTCACAAAGCCTTATTTTGATGGACCATTGACATTTGGGTAATGCAAAACAAGCTGTTAGAAGTACTAACCAAAATCGAAGTGGAAAGTGGAAACCCAATTGGGTGGATGCGCTGAATATTCTACCGTTGACTATTGAAAAGCGAAGAGAACAATGGTGTTTCAGTGTTGGACCTCTGCTTCTAACCTGGCAAGTCCAAACCTCAGTACCGTCCTTTCAGATTCCAGATCTTACCCTCTTACTCGTTTTAGAAAACCCAGAAGACCAACCAAACTCACTTGCCTCCTTAAGCTTGGAGTTGAGGATATTGCAGATATAGTCCACAACAAGGTGTTTTATTTTGGCTTAAAAGTTTGTTTCTGTTTATGTCATTTCGTTTTCTTATTTGATGATGTTTTTTTGAATGTTTGATAAAAACGATAGGTACTGCTAGCAGCAGGTGCATCAGCAGCCATTGGTCAACTCTCAAAGCCATTCACTTCTATACTTTTATACGGCAAAGATTTTGACTTCAAGACTGCTTTCCAACCTGGTGGATTTCCTTCGACCCATTCTTCTGTATGTTCTTTATTTCTTTTTATTTTTCTCATTACTGAGTTCTGTTTCCTTTTGGGGTTATGCTTCTCTTATTTTGCTACATGTTTTTGGTGTTTTATAGTCAGTGGTGGCTGCCGCTACATCTCTTGCCCTTGAAAGGTGATTAATCAATCCCCTTTACTGCTATTGCTATTTTTTGTTTCTAATTTCTTTAAGTTTTGTGAATTGATGAATGCTAAGTAGTGAAAGTTCAATTATGGTCCTAAAGGGGCTTCTCCGATTCGATTTTTGGCCTCACTGTGGTTTATGCTGGCCTTGTCATGTATGATGCTCAGGTATTCACTTTCTCTTCTTTCTTTTTTCAATTAATTTTTGATTGAATGCACACAAATTTTGAGCTATAAGCTAAACTCTTTGACCTTATGAATAAATAAATGGTGTTATGAAAAAAAAATATTGTCCTTTGTTATATATTCTATAGTAATGTGTAAAATATGGATCAGCATTAAGGTTCTAGGTGGTAATTATGATCATTTATTTTTTGAAGATGATGACATTTGGTCTGAATAGAGTATAGGTTACGGAAGTCTCAGGTGCTAGTAATACATTTTTTCAGCATCGTTTATCATACAAATCAAGTAATGGAACATGTCTACAACAGTAATGTAATCCAATTTCGATTTGTGGGTTTCCTGGAGAGCAATGAGATCATCTCTTGTAGAAGTCATGGGTTGTATCAAAAGTGATTGTGTGTCAAGAAATATTCGTTTATCCTTTAGATCGAGAATGAATTTTCTTAAGCACTCGGGCCTTAAGCGTATTTTTATTCTGGTGGAGATGGTGTGCTCAATAGCGAAGAAGAAAATTAGGTGGTGACCAGAGCAATCGATTTTTGGATGTTGATGTTCTGGATGTTAAATGGAGGACATGTTCTTTTAATTCACCATGAGGACACCTTTTAGAAACTTCCAAATTAGGGCAGCAGCTATGACAAAACTTAGCAGAAAATTTACTCGTTTAAGCTTATATATGTTCAGTGAGGTCAAGGTGGGGCTTATTTTAACCCAATAATGGATCGGTTGCTTTCAGATTTGATTTGTAAAGGATTCCTGATCTAGTATGCTTTCAAGAATATTGCAGTACGTGCATTTTTTGTTTCTAAATGGATTTCTGCAGTGGTCAAATGAAAGGTTTCTCATATAGCCTGTTCTAGCTGACTGATCGTTGATGGCAGTTGGCTTCTTATTAGTCTGGCGTAAAAACTCTTTAGGAAATTTTGGTTGAGGGTCTAGCTCGAATGAACTGATTTGTGACCATACTCAAGCTATTGATTGGGACCTTGTTCATCCATGAACCAACTCGGTATAGACCCAAAGGGGAAGAAAACATTTGCAATGTTTGGGTTCTTGATTTGGAATTATAACTGCTTGAAAGTACATTTTACTGTTAAGCAAATGTTTTCTTATGCTGTGGATTCAGCTCAAGCTCTAACTGGAGTGGGACGAGGGAGCACCAAATGTGATGATGGGTTGAGATCAGACTTAGAAATCTTGTTCTGCTGGTAAGAAAACTGCCATTTGGATTGCCTTGTGTGGATGGCGATTTTTTCCTGTTCTGCAGCCATGTAAAAAACAGGGCAGAATAGTTAAACTTTCTCACTCTAGATGGGTTGCCCATGGATATCACGGGGACAAATCTTGCTGCCATCATTCTTTTCGCTTTCCAATCTTTGATTTTGGTTGAGCTTGGAATGGAAAGTAGAGTTAAGAGTCTTCACTTTGTGCTTCTTCCACTGGATATATATTATTGCTTGTAAGAAAAGCAAATGAAAATGGGGATCCAGTCCAGATTCGGAGAAGGTGACCCTCCTGCTATACAGCCGTTGCTAAATTTTTTATTTGGTCATTTTGTTAGGAATCGGTTTATATTTAGAAACTTTTTTTTTTGGATGAGCCGTGTATATTTAGAACATCATCTGCAACCTTCTGCAAAACCATTCAAATTACTGCTGACTGGTAACATTTACTTGTTCTATTTCTCAACTCTAACATGCAAAATAGATATAATTACCTTTCTCATTTGAGTTCTTTCTGCCAAAAACTTTGCATTCTTTGCTCCACCTTTTAGTAAGGAATATGTCTCACCACCCAAGTGGAAGAAAGGGTTGTGGGATTTTCGTTTCTGCATTTTTTATTCATTCAAAAGAAAAATCTAATTATTGGTGCCATAGTTTTAATTAACAGCTGTTATCGTTTTTAAATGTTATACATGACATAACTCCGATTCACACAAATACCGGTAACAAGGGTGTTATATAACAGTAACGGTATTATATAACAGTAACAGTCGTTATTGCCATTATTTGGTGAATAACAATCTTTACATTATTGTTCAAAATATATATATATATTCTTTGCTTTAGAATAAATTTATATCAGTTTCTGTTATATTATTGTTGAAAATATATATATATATATTCTTTGCTTTAGAATAAATTTATATCAGTTTCTGTTATTTTATTATCGTGATAAGCTGTGATCTATGATCGTAATGAGATTTAAGACTATGACTGATACACCCAGCTCTTGGAGGATCTGCTTCATTTGTTCCTCCATGGTTTGTTTTCTTTTCTTGTATTAGGATCTTCATTTAATAATAGAATAACAATGTGGTTGAATTCAAACCTTGATCAAAATAGATGCTTTTACTTTTGCAGGGGGTGAGAAGAGAAGTTGGAAATCATGCGAAAGAACTAAACAAAGTGCTATCCAAGACTGAAGTTAACTCAATGGTTTCCAGTCTAAATGAGTCTCAGCAAGCAACTGAAGAAAAGCTTGGTCCCCTTTTATCCAAAGGAGGAAGGCCTTTTTTGCCAAATTCAACGAACTCTCCTATATTACTTGAAACAGAGAGTAAAACAACACAAACAAGTCAGATTCCGGTATCTTCCAGTTTAGCAGGTACTGAAGAAGCAAGAGAAAAGGTCCCGTATAGTTCAGCATCTCCTCTGAAAGAATCAATTGGTCACACAGAGGTTGAAGTCATAGCTGGGGCTTTGTTAGGTTTCTTTGTAAGCATCGCAGTTTATACTACTTTGTGATATCGTATTCTTTGTTTATTTTCACTTCATTGCTGCACTCATACATACTGTTAGAAAATCATCTATATTTACCATGATCATGGTTAGAAAAGATTGGGACTGGATTTAAGATCCTCTCACAACACGTGCTTCTGGGCAAGCTTGTGTTTCTTCCTAGCTATTTCAAGTTTGAAATTGCATTGCATCGCCATAAATCATTCGGCTATAAAGGAGGCCCATAAGGAGAGAGTGAGCTTTAGCCGCAAAATTGCATGTACGATCCTTAAATTAGCAGGTTAAAATGAGAGGGTTAAAGTCAAAATGTACTCGATTATCAGAGCCTTCCAGAAATTTCATTTGTATCAAGCGGAAGTCCTTGATGATATGCTATTGCTCGGTTGATCTTCCCTCCTCGAGGTGAGTTTGATCCTAACGTCAACAGCAAGGCTGGTGGTGCCGAGTCATAATATTGCAGGCAGCCACGCAGCAGAACAGATTGGCATATTTGATGGGATTAGTGGCATGTAAGCCATGTGGCTTCACTGACTATAGACGTGTTTTTATTTGGTTGGACCCCAATGTTTGTCGATATCTCCCAGACTTGTGTTTATGAAGACAGTCGGTTATGCCATCTTTAGTGCATATATGGTCTTACTCTGAGAATCTTGACGCTGCGTTGTCTGTACCGAAACCACTTGAAAAGTCAGAAAGAAAAGCAAAAGAAAAGGAGGCAATAAGAAATGTCAGGGGCACAGGGAGCACAGCCGCCGGGCAGTACAACAGCAACAACATACGAGTCAGTGCCAGGAGGAGAGAATAAGACCAAGGTTAAGGTAGACTCAAAGGAGGATCAGGGCATGATTCAGATCGACAAAATCCAGGACAAGGTTCCTGATGCTGCTGGGAAAGGAGGCCCTGTCTTTGGCGCTGGCAAAGATGAGAACAAGAAAGACTTGGGAGTTACCGGCACTGGCTAATAGCTAGCCTAGCCTAGCTTAGCTTCCATACATATTGCGGTTTCATTTGCCAAAAATGAACTTCTTGTGTCTGTGTTTTTTCTCCTTTTCTGTAGCTTTAATTTGCATGGATACTTTTAAGTGAGCTTTTCGTGTATCGTCGTCATCATATATATATATATATAATGCTGGTACTAATAGGCCTTTGCCGTACTTTTAACAACCCCCTGGATTTTGAACCTCAACCCAATCCCCATCATAGCGAACCAATATATATACATAATGCTTGGGTCAATGTAATATATGGCGTATTTAGTGGCGTTGTGGAAGTTTGAAGAGGATCATTTGGAGAATCAAGAATAGAATAATTGAACCAAAAGAGGAATCGGATATCGCTGTTCAAGGAAGGCTTGGAATGATACATGCTTTCAATAGATCCAAACGGTATTTGCCAATTTCTTCTCTCTATTCTAATTTAGAACTTGCACCCTTCGATCAACAATGACAGCAGAGATGATTCTTCTCCTCCACCATCAATCTACAATAAAGATCTTCAACAGTTCACATCAATATCACGATCATCCACCAACAAAGACCAACCCTCCAATTCCAATGTCTTGGAAGCATCTGGCAAACGCCTCGATTACATTATCCAATTGAAGGGAATATGTACATGAAGTGATGAAAACGTAACTGTTTAAACAGTCGCTGGAGTTAAATTTGAGTGTATGCTATTTGGTTGGCGATGAAGGGAGTTAAAGCATTTAGAGTCGGGAAAAAAAATTATTTTTTACTAGTCAAGATTGCGTAATAAATCATGATCAAAACACAAAAAACAAAAAAAGCCTAATACAAATCAACAAAGAAATTAATGTTAAAAAACAATAATAAAAATATCAACATTGAATATTGAACTAAATGTAATTACCAGCTCAACAACTCTTATTCTATAATTTTTTTTTCACTTTCTTCGAGTCTATTATTTTTATTATTTAGGATATTAAAGATCTAAAAATATAAATTAAACATTCATTATTCTATCAAATATATAAAATGAAATCAATTATTCAAAAAAATTATATATATAAATATTTAAATTTGAAATCATTTATTTAAATAATTAGAATCATAATTGACATGGTATAATAAATTCACGAAAGAGCGCCAAAGATACGAGGGAGGGAATTGAAAGAAACTAAAAGGCATGACCATTTCAGTGTTTTTAGACTGTTCATTGTCTCTCATTTTACTATGGACTGAAGGTTTTTTTTTTTCCTTTTGTTTTATAAAAAACCTTATTTTTTGCCTTTAATTACTATCATTGTCACTCAGTAGATTCGTGAAAATCCACATTCGCCCTTGACTGACTCTCTTTTTAATTTTCTTTTCTAGACTTTTTTGTCATTTTCCTTCTTCTTTTTTTCCTCTGCCATATAAATGACCTTCTCTTTTGTATTTAATTACTTTTATTACTACTCAGTGAATTTGTGAAAATTTACATTTACTCTTAACTAATTCTCTCTTTCTTATTTCTCTTTTAGCTTTTTTTTTTTTTTTTTGTCATTTTCCTTCCTTTCCTTGTCAAGCATTTAATGCTCATGTGCTTTCCTTCTTTTTTTTCCTCCTTCTTTCGCAGAGAGCCTTAAAGAGTAAATTATAAATTAGTCCCTCTTTTTTGGGGAAACAAATTAATTAATCCATCTAATTTTAAAGACTATTTTTTTATCATTTTTTCTATGTTTTAATTTTTTTTCACTTTTTTGTTTTAAGAAATAGAAAATAAATAAAAAATATAAAAATATAAAAAAGATTGATGAGAGAATAAGACATTTTAAAAAATAAATAAATTAATTGTGGTGAGCATTGGTTAAAAAAATTAATTATTTATTTTTTGAAATCAAAATGACTAATTAATTCATTTTTCAAAACAAGAGGGAGTGACGAATTCTTGAACAATTGTGCCCGTGATCGAACTCTATGAATGCACATCTAACTTGCATTGTAATTAATTATTACCGAGTGTTTAGTTCAAAATTAATTTTTTATTTTTTATAGTGTAAATTTCATACGTCCTAATAATATAATTTTTTTATTATGTTCTATTAACTATTAACCATTAAAATTAATTCTTGACTACGTAATAAATAATTACGGATTGTAGAATTCTATTAATCAAAACACTAAAAAGAGAATACTAATTCATTACACCCAATTGCACTATTCACTATCGCTCAACATATATTTTAGATTATATTATTTTTATTATTTAAAATTTATTTCTTCAATTTGTCATTTCTTATAGAGATTGCCATCCAATTAATTGTTATTTTATTTAAATATTATTTATTGATAAACATGATTTATTATTTTACGTGTATGGATTTTTAAATAAAATTTTTTAACATAATTATTTTCTTTTTAAAAAATAAAGTTATATGATTTATATGATGAACTCTTAGAATTTTTAAATGATATATATATATATATATATATATATATATATTAAAATTATTTTTTATAGAATTTGTATTAGATTTTTTGAAAACAAAATTTACAAAATGAATTTTTAGTTACAAATCCATGGAGTTTTAGATTTTATTTTTAGAGTATCACAAGTTTTTAGTTAAGAATCGAATAAATAAGAATAAATCATATCTTTTTTCTAGATAATTTATGAAAAATATAATGAATAATCGATCAAACGTAAAATTTTAATAAAAAAATGAAATTGAATGGATTTTTTTTATAAAAAAAAAATCTATGTTACAATATATTTTGGTGGATTCATAATGAAGTGCAAATCTTCAAATTAAAGTCACTTTATATGTTCCGTTCGACCCGCGATGTAACGCCGGTGAAAAACTAGTGATCTTTCTAATTATTCATTACGTTGTCTATCCGGTTTTTTTTTTTTTTTAATACGCTATTTGAGATCGACGTAGATGCACCTGCCCGGACGCATATGACGTTGTTGGTGTAAGCCCAATGTCCGAATCAACCCGCCTCACCCATTGTGTTTTTATTTTTTAAAATTCTTCTTTTCGTTTTGGCTTCCCCTTTTTTCTGTCTTGATAGACACTTTTATTTCCCCTCCAAAACACCAAAAATTAACCATAATATGTTTTAAAAATTTTTAAATTATATACATCATTAGAATTAAAGTTAAAGCTTTTATTTATTTATACTTTTGGAATACATAAATTGATAATATGTTTTTAAATCCTCAATTTATATCCTTCCTTAGAATCAAGTTAAACTTTTATGTTAAAAATCTTAATATAATTTTTAATGATAAAAGACCAAAATCAAGCCCATTTTAGTTTTTTTCTTTCTTTATTAAATTTTCAATATAAAATAACAAACATTTTGTTATTATGAATTTCTATAATATATCATGTATTGTGTAAAATATATTTGTCCTCGTCGACTATTAACAAAATTCAAAAGTTAAATAAAAAATTATTGATGTGTTCGATAAGATACTCCTAATATATATATATATATATATATATATATTAAAATAAAAATAAGGAAAAATAAATACTAAATAAAAGGAAGTTATTGATTTTAACGATAAAGGAATATTATTTTTTAATTATTTGTTGGATTTAATTAAAATAAGAAGAAGAAGAAGATAAGAACATATCAACATATGCTTTAATTGTTGTTTTAAAACTAAAATTTTTTTTAAAATTTTTTTTTAAATATTAACGAAAATGTTTTTTTGTTGGTAAAATTGATAAAGGATTTCCAGTAAGAAAGAAAATAAAATATAGTGCATCTTAAAAAAGTTCCTCCAACAAATGAAAATATTAAATTATAGGTACGAGTTGTAGATATTTGTCGAGCGATCTAGCTCGCGACGAATACGATAATTAAATATATATATATATATATATATATATATATATATATTGATGAAAAACGTATTTGAAAGCATGCACTCATTATCCAGACAGACAAACAACATCGGATTGCATTCAAAAGATCAACCCTACATAGAAGGTCACATGTGTTAGATTTAGTTCACACATATGTATGCTCTACTGGTCGACAAATCTATTAGAGTCGCTAAGTATTTTGTCACCTTTATTGATGAGAATTCATGAAAATTATGGGTTAATTATTTAAAGATAAAAGATGAAGTGCTCAATGTATTCAACGAGTTTTATATTGATGTTGAAAGAGAGAAAGAAAGGTAATTGAAATGTGTTCGATCAAATAATCGTGGAGAATACGGAGGTCTATTTAAAAAAGTATTACAAAGACCATAGAATCGAGGTTGAAAAAATAATTTCAAAAATTCCTCAACAAAATGGAGTTGCTAAAAGAATGAACTCGCACTATCGTAGAAAGAATCAAGTGTATGCTCTCTCATGCAAAGCTACCAAAATCTTTTTAAGTAGAAGCAATGGAGACCACAAGTATATGTGATCAAACTTTCTTCTTTTGTTTTGCTCGGTTATGATGTACGTAAAGAGTATAGAAAGGACAAGATGTCTCTTTTAAATATTTGAAGGTGTTCAATTATAGAGCCTTTGTTTATATTCCAAAAAATGAAAAATCTTAATAACAAGACAAAAAAAAGTGTATTTTTCTTGTTTATGGCCAAAATAAGTTTGGTTATAGGTTGTGGGATTTGAAGCTAAGGAAAGTGATTTGAAGCGGAGACATGGTCTTCTTTAAAGACAGAAGCAATTAAGGATATTGAGAAGATAGAAAAATCATAATCTTTTGATAAGTATCGATTCATTTTCTAGACCTTGACCAAGTATTGAGCCGGATGATCATAGGAGAGATGTAAAAAATAAGCGGAATGATGATTTAAATTTACAATCAATAGTTGATGATTATGAACCAATTACCGATAATGGTAATCTAGAACTAGCAACTCTACCATGATTAAGACAATTTAGTAGACCTCACTAATTTTTTGCAAAACATTCTCCTCGTGAGTATATAATAGTTATTGAAAATGGAGTGCCAAATGTTATAAAGAGGTCTTATGTAGTAAACATAAA